GAGGGTTAGAGAAAAAGAGGAAGACCCCCGTGAGATGGATTGGCAAAGTGGCAGCATGAATGGGTTCAAGTGTGGCAACAATTGTGAGGTAGGCCCAGGACCAGGCATTGTTTCGTTCTGGTGTGCATAAAGTCTCTATGAGTCGGTACCAACTCAATGACACCTAACAACAACAACATAGTTACAGGATTATATTTTATATGAGTATTTTGGTGATTTAGGAAGAGCATGTCACTAGCATATGCACAATGTCGTATTGACCTCTAATGCTAACTAGAGGAATAATACGTCTGAGGAAACTGGACAAGTTATTTGGCTCTCTGTGTTTCAGTTTGCTCATCTCTCAAGCAATGGTGTTGGAACCCTAAATGACTTCAGTCAGGTACAAACAGCACAATATTGCTGAGATTCCTCCCTTAGACTAGAGAATAAGGTGACCACAGTATCAGCTTCTTTGGTTTATAATGTAGTTCAGTAGCAGGAGGTAAGAAAATGAAGGGCTAAATTTGCACTAACTTCTCAGAGCTATGAAATAGTTATCTACCCCACTTCCCCACCTACAAAGAATAGGATGTGCTTTTTAAAGTATTTATTTGAGTTTGCTGCAACAAAGGACAGAGTGTGTTCTTTGTAAGATTGACTATTTGTAAGACGGCTGTGGATGTTCACTGTTCTACTTTATCTTTTTCCCTTTTTTCTGCATAATAATAAGGGCACTGCTCTGCTAAGTTAAAAAGGACACTGCCATTGAGTTGATTCCAACTTGTAGTGATCGTATGTAGTTTTCTAGACTGTAAATATAGGCAGACAGTCTCATCTTTCTCATGTGGAGCAGCTGGTGGATTTGAACTGCCAACCTTGTGTTTAAAAACCCAATACCTAACCCACAGTGGCTCATTAAAAGTGCCCAGTAAAAAGGACTTTGTCACCCACTATTCTGGGGCTTGAAAGTGCAGTGATCTACCCAAGATAGCAGTAACAAATAACATAGGCACTATAGTGGACTCCGGCACTAAACTGCTGGTTTGCTTAGACTGATACATATAGCAGCTAAACATCATCCTGAGTATACATTGGGAACCAGAGAAATTGAGAGTCAGAAACTCTGTCGGAATCCTGAACTAGAGTGGAGAACAAAATAGTCAAGGTTCCTGCCATTCTGGAGCATACATTCTAATTGAAGAGTGAAGTAATTCACAAGAAAACAGACTAAGTAATTTCAGATGGCCATGTTGTTGTTGTTAAGTGCCATCAAGTTGCTTCTGACCCATAATGATCCTGTATAGGGTGTGCAAGGACTGGCTGGTGAGCTTGAGCTGCCAACGCTGAGGCTCAAGTGCATTAGCCCACAGTGTCATTCAAGGACTCCAGATAGTCATAAATGCCTTAACTAAAATTAAGAAGATAGTTGTCAAAGTGACAAAGGGTTAGAGTACTTAAAAATGATTGCTCAAGGAAGATTCTCTAAAGATTTAATATTTGAGCCGAGACTAAATTGAGACAGAATATTTGGGGGAAATGCATCCCAGGCAGAGGGGACCACTTAAGGGAAGATTAAGACTAGGAGGAAGACGAAGCTTGGAGTGTTACCTGAAAGTAGGTAGGAATACCAGTGTAGCAAAACTGGAGTAGGTAGGAAGTGTAGGAAGGATATCAAGTCACAGAATGACACCTCCCAGTAATGTCATGGAGGCATAAGATACTCAGATCTCAGGAGTACAATGAAAAGCCATTGGAGTGTTTTGAGCAGCAGACAGAAACAGTTTGATTTAATGTTAAAAATCATTTTGCCTGCCACATGGATTTTAGAATGAATGTGGAAGCATGGATAAAATTAACAGAGTAGTGGGAAATTTGCTGGTATCTTGGATTGGGGCAGTTATGATAGAAGATATGTGAATATTCAAGATATTTTGTGGAAAATAAAATCCCTATTTGCCTCTTCATGTTGAGAGTCTCTTTCTAGGGCTACACTTTGAAAGTTCTGTGTTTTATTTTTATAAAGATATTATTCACTTTTATAAGTGCTGTGTTAAACATATAATTTATAAACAGTGACAAACCTTTGAAGATTGGTTTCTTTTATGTCTAATATCCATGGCATTTAGAGTACATACATTTATATATCATCTATGATTTAATAAAATTATCTATCTTTTTTTTGTGTTAAAGTTTCTAACTATGGCCCAGGTAATATAGAAACTAAAATTTCTTTGTGTAGCATATGTCTGGGTTAATGTATATGAAACACCTCTGGTTAAAATAAGGTAAATAAAATACGATAAAAACAGCTCTGTAGCACTTGACAACAACAACAACTATGTAAGAAAAGGAAACAAAGTTAATGCACAGAATTTAATAAATCTAGATATCAGATCCAAATAACTAAGAATATTTCTGAGGATGCCTTTTCAGAACTCTGCACCAAATGCTCTTTTTTCCTTCCTTGTTTTATTTTGCTTCCCCTTTGGGTACTGTTCTTTCTTTTTCCAGGTACATAAGTACCCAAGCCAACTATGATGATATGAAAGATCACTAAACTATTTGTATGGTGGTTCCACCTTCACCAGTAAATAGCTACATAGCATAAAGCACACCATTTAATCTTGAGAATTAGTTTTCTTATATTTGAAATGAAGGGAATGGACTAGATAGTCCTAAAATTCATTTGTACTCTAAGATTTGAAAATGTTCCCATTGAATTTTACATTGGGTGAAAGTAACCGTCATTTGCTGTGTTGTCGTTGTTAAGTGCTATCAAGTCAGTTTCGGCCCTCAGCAGCCCTGTATAGGTTTCCAAGGAGTGATTGGTGAGTTTGAACTGCCGACCTTGCAATTCAAACCGACTTTGCAGTCCAGCATATTAACTCACACCAGGACTCCTCTTGCTATTGTTTGCTATAGTTTCCATTTTTGTTCTGATTATCCCCCATCTATGTCTCTAGTTCAACTTTCTCATGAGATTCATTCTCAGAGAACAAATTGCCTTCTGAACGTCTCTACCTAGATATTGCACAGACTTGTCAAATGCATGCTGTCTAAAATGACTCACTTTCTCCAGCAATTTCCGTCTTTCCTTGCATTGTTTGTGTCCCTCTCCCCTGAATTGAATCTTCTATTACACCTTTTTTTTTTTTGCCATTTATCCACTTATATTTCTAGACTCAGCTCAAGAATCACTTCCTTCAGTAAAGACTTGAATCACTTGATGCGAATTATTTCCTAGCCCACTTCTCATCCAGTTAGAATTGTCTACTACCTTTGATGCTTTCCTGATTAGATAGATATCAGAGACTGGGTAATTAATGGATATTAAATGAATGGGTGAAAATGAACATTCTGTTATCTGAGGATTGTTAGCTGAGATAACCTTCTGTTACCTGTTATCTGATTTGCCCCACTTGGCAAATGTCGTCCTACCAATAATTTTTCTAAGATATGGAGAAGCCTTGCCTCCTATTCAGTCTCACCTGGTCACCAGCTTTTAAAAGTCCTGTAAATCCCTATCTTCATTTGTTTGTACACATCCTTCTGCTATGAGGATTCTTGTCGTTTTCATGTATATTCTCTCTTGCAGAGTGCAGCAACCACATTTTCTGTTTCGTTCCTATCCTTCCCTGAGTTTGAGGTTACAGTAATGATATTGTATCCGTTTTTAATAAGTTTTGTTCATTCTTTGAACCACACATCTGACTTAGATATTCCTTTTATTTGGGGAAATGATCTGTTTCCTTCAACACAGACATGTATATATAAACCAGTTTCATCATGAGCAATTAACAAATCCACTTCAAACTCTTCAAAACGTTAATGAAATTTAGACCTGCTACGTTGCTCTTTTTCAATAGATATGCTTGGGTAAATAAGTCACTTGCAGAGCTAAATTTTTTTCAACATCATCCCAGAATATCTCCAACTCCCTGACCAGGATGGATGAAATTCACCAAAGTGATTTATTTTAGCAAGGTCAAGAAACCATCTTTGACATGTAAAAATGGTAGAATCAGCTTTTCTTCTCAGCAGATTTTTAAAACTTACTAGTGCTAGTGTAAGTAACATGGATTTCACAGGCAAATGAGAGAGCAGTTTGTCCTTTAAAAGAAATTTCTCTCCCAGGGCTCCATTGCTATCAGAAACCTCTTCTGACTTCTCTAAGATAACATTCCCAGGCTTGTCTCTTACCTTCTTTCCTCAGTCCATTCTCTTCACCTTGCCATTAATCCTGACATTTCTTAAAATCAGACACAGACCTTTGTCAGTTAATTTATTACAGAAAGATCACTGGGGTGTAGACCAGCTCAGCAGGCAGAATTGGACACAGTGCAGGACCTAGTTCAAATCAAATGAACATCAGTGATGATAATTATGAGTTTTTAAAGCACTTTTTAAGTACTAGTTACAAACACATAGGGGCTCTGGTAGCATAGTGGTTACGAATCGGGCTGTAAACGGCAAGGTCAGTAGTTCGAAACTACCAGCTGTTTCGTGAAAGAAAGATGAGGCTTTCTGCTTCCATAAAGATTTACAGCCTCAGAAAACCTGTACAGGGTCGCTATGAGTGGGATCCGATGCCACGGCACATAACCACCACCACCACAAATACATAAAAATTCTCATTTGCTCGTCAAAAGAACCCTTTAATTTACGCATTCCACATACTAACCTCTACAGATGAGTAAGTGAATGACGGCTTGGGCTGCGTAAGTAGGTTCCCTGAAGTTAAATAGCCAGTAGGGAGCTGAGTTAAAATGTGAATTTCTGTCTGTCCTTTTCCCATTACACCAATACTTCTAAGTAACATGGCTATCTCTATCTTGAGTTATAAGAGTTTTTGAGGAGAGGTGCACTAGACAAATGGTGTCCTGTTCAGTAGGAAAGTAGCCTTTATTCCTGTTGCCACTTTATTAGAAGAAGACTCAGATGGCTGAGATGTTGAAACCCTGCATAGAATGAATTGAACTGAGGTTTGACTGACTTGCATGCATGTCTTTATCTTCTAGGATGATTTCCAACCCGATGCAGCCTCAGAGACTAACAAGAAGTCAGTCACAAGCTCCGTCTCAGTAAGTAATTTATTGTTCTGTTGCCTGTGTGTGTGTATGTTGGGGGAGGAGGGGAGACATGATGGAGAATAGCCAAAGTTAACCTAGGATGACTTCAGCTTCATACAGGATCTATAACTTGACCAAAAGCCGGATATCAAGGAAGATGTTTTCTTCCATTTCATTCAGGCTACAGTGGGTTTTGTCCAAATGTCCTTTCTTCTCTTTCAGAAAGGTTTTCAGGAAATACCAGCAGTCACTGTAGGAACACAGGGATAGCCAGTGCCTTAAGTAATTGTTCATTTCAAAGCACAACTTTCCAACTAAAGAACTGTCCAGACTTATCAAACATGTTAAACTGGTCCATGGCCCAGACTCAAGTGGGAAATTTTGCAATCGCTTTTGAATTTTCTAGAGGAAACTGTTAACCTTTGCATTTTCAAGGATCTTTTCAGACTTGAAAAATCCCTGTGCTTACAGTAAGATAGCTTAAGTGTATATCAAGCATGTATTCTATTTGACTTGGAAATAAAGCATAACACCCCAAAGCTGTAAAATGATTCATGCTCCCATTTTTTTTGTTCCATATTTAGTCATTTATCAGTATTCTGTCTCCTTATCTACTTTATACAGAAAGACAGACCTTGTTTTCCCCAATCCCACGTTGTAGCACTTGTGTAGCAATAACATGGAAGATAATAAAGGCATTTGTTCATAAAAAGGTCAAGAGCCTGGAGAAAGACTGTCCATAGTCCTAAAGTGAGTCTGTTGCTGAGTCAGAGTTGACTTATTTTTTCCCAAAAAAAATAAGCTATATTTGGCTCTTTTGATTCTTTAGGGGAACTTTAAAAATCTCTTTCTATGGCAGGATTTCCTCAGCAATACATCTGGCATTATTTAATATGTCTAGTTTGGCTTCTAGAATAAAAGGGCATCATCTGAACAGTTTGTCAATGAGAGATAATCACGTGATACTAAGAGTGTGTTTTTTGACAATCTAGAAAGCATGCTGTGAACCTAGTTAAGCGTATTACAATTGTCAGCTGATGTTGAATGTCTCACTGATTCCTAGTGACCCCATGAACAACAGAATACAATTCTGCTAGGCCTTGCACTGTCCCCATGATAGGATGTAAATCAGACTATATTGATCCATAGAGTTTTCATTACCTGATTTTCAAAAGAGTTCATCAGGACTTTCTTTTTAGTCTGGAAGCTCTGCTGAAATATACTCAGCATCATAGCAAAATGCAAAGCTTCCACTGGCAGACAAGTTGTAACTGCATATGAGGTGATTGGCTGGGAATCAAACTTGGATCTCCCACATGGGAGGTGAGAATCTTACCCACTGAACCACCACTGTTACCAATATCAGTCTGGTGAAAATTAAAATAGAGCAGGTAATATTTTAGAGTAGCGTAGTAGTTACAAATCGGGTTGTGAACCTTAAGGTCAGTGGCTTGAAACTACCAGCCATTCCGTGGGAGAAAGATGAGGCTTTCTACTCCCGTAAAGATTTACACCCTCAGAAACCCTGTACAGGGTCGCTATGGGTCGGAACCGACTGGATGGCACTTAACAACAACAACAACATACACTAGGCAGTAGGCTTGGCCATTTGGGAAGCCCTCAGGCAGCCTAAATCTGACATCACTACATAGCTATGGCTTGTGCAACTAGGCTCTAGTGTGCTGTTCTGTCAGTGGTTCCTCAACTTCTCAAGGATCTTATACATGAGAGTTCAGGATTGTTTAATCATTCCTGCCCCAAGAGTAGAATTACTAGCCATAAAAGATCCATAGCTAATTAGGAATAGTCTAAATGCTCTAAAAATGATCCGTCCGTCCACTCTGAGTATCTCCGGAGGTGAGATGTGTGTCCATATCTGCTGGAAAGTGGAGTTCCAAGCTGAGTTACTGCTAAGTCCTTTGGCAAGACCAAGGAAATCACACTTCTTTCTGTTGTTATTGTTAAGTGCCGTTGAGTCAATTCCAACCCATAGTGACCCTATATAGGGTTTCCAAGGAGCAGCTGGTGACCTTGAACTGACAAACTTGCAGTTCAAACCCCTTTATATTTTGGTGTATTAACCCATAGTGCCACACCAGGACTCCTTTCTGTGCATTCAGTTTTTTTTTTAAGAATCTGTTGGATTAGGAGCAAGAGCCCTTGGACCTACCTTTAACTTCTGCAAAAGTCATTCTTTTTTTTTTTTTTTTTTCTTTCTTTCTTTTTGCTGAAAGCAGTTTTCAGATCATCCTTTACACATTGTTATTATTTAAAAGTTACTCAGTTCACTTTAAAATTTATTTTTATAGGTGTGTAATAAAAACTGAATGAGGCCAAATTTACAGGACATTAGAAAGAGGCACACCCAATTAGTTTTCTCTCCCAAAAACAAATGGAAAATATTTACCTCAGAAACAAAAATGTTCTCATGGGTTTATTAGGTCACCTAATTACTCATAAATATTTTCTTAACTATCACTGTTGTTCCTTATAAACCGCCCTGAGTTCACACTTGAAACATCAATAAAGTTCATACAGAAGGACAAGTTCCCATTTTATCTATTGTTTGGATTTGCCTTTCAGTCTATTAGAAGAGATTGAATTTTGTTCTCATGTCAGGTTGTGAGAACCCCTCCATGATATATTCCTGCAGATAGATGTCGGCACATGCTATAATCTGGACACTTTTAGGAGCAACTTTCCCCCAACCCTGCAAAGAAAAAAAAAAAGCTCACTTCAATAGCTTTTCTTAGAGATGTTGTCAGATGCTTTTGCTTATGTAGGAATGGCTTGATTAATGTCCTGTTTTTATTTCAAAATGAAATGAGGGCAGCATTTTATTTCCAAAACTGTATGCCTGACTTTGGTCAACTCATTTTGGATCTTTTAATCTTAAAGCCAAGCTACTACTGTGATACAAAGCTAATTGTAAAAATCATCTGGTGAATACAAGCCAGGTAAACTATAGATTTGGCATAAGGTCATTCTATTATAGATAAGGTCATCCTTACTCAGTGACAATGAAGAACAACAACAAAAGACTGTAGATTGTCCAGAAAACACAAGTAGAATAGGGATTTGGAATGTTTGTACTTAACTATAAGAATTGTCCACCTCTAGCATGTGATTTCAAGAGAAATGAGGAAGAAAGAAATGAGGTGCTTCAATCGCAGTTCAGTTGCATACTTCCCTCATACATCACTCCCCTGCAATTCTCTCTTTTCCATGAGCACACATGAAGGTGCTCCCAAAGGAATTACAACACAACATTGCTGGTAAAAACCAATTGCTGTTGAATTGATTTGGACTCATGGGAATCCTGCTTGTGTCAGAGTAGAGCTGTGTTTTATAGGGTTTTCAGTGACTGATTTTTTGGAAATAGATGTTTAGGAGAGTCTTCTGAAGACTCTATGGATGCACTTAACCTCTAACAGTTTGCTTAGCAACCCAACCCAATAACTCTGCTCTACCTAGGGTCTCTACCTCAAAGACAGATTAATGCATTTATACCCTTTTAATTTTTGCTGAAGAGGGACCTTTCTTCTAAGAGCTGGGGATCACTGAATTGCTTATGGATCTTTGGACCTTGATTGGTTAAAGAGAGAAAAGGTTGCCACTGAGTGAGACAGTAACTGTGGGCTTTGCTCCATGTGACTCGGTGGTGGTGTTATTACATAGAGTCAGTTCTGACTCATAGCCACCCTGTACAGGGTTTCCAAAGCTATAAATCTTTATGAGAGCAGAAAGCTTCATCTTTCTCCTGTGAAACAGCTTGTAGTTTTGAACTGCTGACCTTGAGGTTATCAGCCCAATTCATAACCAGAGCTCTTTATATGACTCTGTAGCACATATTTATTTCTCAATAGGATACTGCAGTTAAGCTTCAGGGAAACAAATTTTCATTTTCCCTTAGTGATAGAAGATATTTGCCCTTGGGGAATCTTATTTGTTTGTCAGTTTCTTTAAAGACATTTAGAAATCATTTAAGGCAGTGTGCTCTCTATTTACTTGTTAATGGGTCATGAATTTTTACAGAGATGTTTGAATCATGGCTCATTTATCTCTGGATATACAAAGGCTAGTGAAGTAAGTTCTTGGAAACCTGTGTGGGGATATGTTCCATAGCAAAATGCATAGTGCCTTCCAGGCTGTCAATGATGTTTCATTTCTCACCTAAAGAATATTCCTGAGAATGCTTTAATGTAACTAGAATCACTAACAAACTATGACATGTTTTTTTTTCGCCTCATATCCTTTTCATGTGAAGCTTTCACTCTTAAGTCAAGTGAGACAGTCTCATTATTAACTATTCTTGTTGATGGTAAGTAAATAAGCTGGTTGTTGTTAAGTGCCATCGAGTCAGTTTTGACTCATAGTGACCCTGTAGAGGGTTCCCAAGGAGCAGCTGGTGGGTTTGAAACACATCCCCTGTGGTTCACAGTCCCGTGCCAAACTTTATCTAGATGTCTCCAGAGGAGATTCAAACACTGTTCAAACGACATCTGTAATGCTGACTTACAAAGAGGAGACAGAGGAAAGGAGGCAAAATATTGCTGGAGAATGGGAGGAATTATGCAAAACTTGCTTGGGAGGACTTCAGAATTTAAATTGTCATTATATAGATATGGATAACTTGAAACTTTGAACCAAAAAATTGCTTGACTTAATGTTGATGTTTCCACCTATCCTAAATCTTTTTTAATGATTAAAATTCAGATAAACCAGAAGCTTTATGATCTGCTTAGATGTGATTTTCAAAAGAATGATTACTGCCTTTTACTGATTGATTGCTTTATTTAGGAATATGGCTAGACTATGACAGAGTACTTTTGTAAGGTATTTAGAAATATGATGTCGTATGATTAGAAGCCTGTATATATGTTCCTTCCATATCATTGCATTACTGTTGTTTTTTATGGCAATGGACTATTCTGAGTACACTGAGCTGTATGTCACTCTTAGGGGACATCCTATCACTCTCCATCAGTAACGGATCCCACTCTTACTGCGAAAGATCTGGACAAAATAATTGCAGCATTTGATACCGTGGAGGATGTACTCAAGCACTTTTATCCAGATTCCTGGCAGGAAGATCTTAAGAAACTGTATTTGGACAACCCATATTATCGAGGCAGAACATACTATGAAAGGAAGTCAAAAGGTAAGAAACAGGAATTTGGAGGTCCTGTGTATAAAACTACTATTGCTCTTAGGTGCTGTTAATTCCAACTCAGGTGAGAGAGGGGAATTGCCCATGGGGCTTTCTAGGCTGTGAACTTTAAGGGAGCAGGTCACCAGTTCTTTATACCACAGAACTGTTGGGTGGATTCATACTGTCAACCTTTCAGTTAGAAGCAGAAACCATTACAAATTAGGGGTGTTAGTAGTGACTAAGTACTAGCAACATAATATATTTGACGCACATAAATAATATGATTAATGTCTGTCTGTTATCACATATATTTTCCACAGTGCTTCAAATAAAGTTTAAGGAGCTGTAAGAGAATAGTAGGTTACAAGTTGGGCTGCTAACCTCAAGGTCAGCAGATCCACTCTTCCAACTGCACCACAGGAGGAAGATGAGATTTTCTGCTACCAGAAAGATTTACAGTCTTAGAAAGCCTATACAGGGTTGTTGTGAGTTGAAATTGACTCCACGGCACATAACCACTACCACTATCACCACCAACAACAGCAAATAAAGTTTGATGTCTTACCCAAACTGTGTTAATTTGTATGGGATTGAAAAAGGTTTGGTTCTGTCAAAGATTTCTCGTGTTTTAAAGCTAGAAGTGGTGTTGCTGGTTAATGCGCTGGACTGCAATGTTGGTTTGAATGGCAGAGTCGGCAGTTCAAGCTCACCAGCCGCTCCTCAGAAACCCTATGCAGAGTTAGTATAAGTCAGAAGCAACTCAATGGCACTTAGCAACAACAACAACAGCCCCAAATTCTCAGTGAAGGCCACTAAAGTCAGCTGAGATAAATACTTTGTCAAAACTGCCTGACTAGTTAGCAGTAGAGAGGAAATGAGAGCTGTGTTGTCTTACCTCTAGTGGCAGGGCTTGTGAAAACAAGAACCAACGTGCCTCCCTGATAGATAGGAAGATTGGGTTAGCCCGTGAATCAATCAGTGCTAGAAAGGATCAGAAGCCTTTCTCCATGATCCTGAGACCAGAAGAATTAGATGATGCCCTGCAACCACTACCAACTGCTCTGAAAGGGATCATATTAGACGGTCCTGGATAGAGCAGGATAAAAATGTAGCACAAAACTCAAAACGACCAGACAGAGCCTGGTGGAACCTTTCAGGTCTGAAATTGAAATCACCCCTGTGGCTCAATATTCAGTCAAATCATAGCTGGATCTATAAGGAGAAGAGTCTCAATAGCATGGTAAACGTACCTTAGAACAGTCAACCATTTGAGATCAAAAGGACAGCATTTGCCCAAGAACAAAACTTAGAAGTATTAGGAAAGAAGGTGGAGGAAATTAAAAACACAGGGAGGAAGTGGGATAAGTGATACATTAGGGATGGCAATCAGTGAGATGAAACAAAATGTGTATGATTTGTTGAATGTAAAACTGATGATCTGCTCGGTAAACCTTCACCCAATTCACAATAAGAAGTTTAAAAAAAAAAAAAAAGTCCTCTTATAAGATTTTAGCTCCACCTATTCTGCAGATCCTTTGTAAGGGCCTGTAATATACGTGGTACAGTTCCTAGTTAGTGCAAACTGTTAACATGCTCAGCTGCTAACTGAAAGGTTAGTACTCACCTTCATCCAGAGGTGCCTTGGAAGAATGGTCTGTCAATGTAGTTTTGAAAAATCAGCCAATGAAAACGTTTGGAGTACAGTTTTACTCTGATGCACACCAAGTTACCATGATTCAGTTACCATTGATTCAACAAAGTGGTTTTCTGTACTCAGTGTTCTGGGTTACTTCAAGGATGTAAAAGTCACAAGCAAGATGTAAAAAATGTACTGAAATAGCTTATAGAAATATGAAAGCACCCAATCAATTGGAAGTTTCAGGTAAGTGTAATGAGGTTAGAAGAGAGAGGAATATCCAGACAGAACATTACGAGTTAAAATGAGAATGCACTCTTAACAATAAATACCTTAATTATACACCTGAGTGATATGATCTTATTATGAGTATGTTTATTTGAACATTTCACTCAAAATAATGGAAAAATAACATGTAACCCCATGTTATGGAATACGACTATAATGTCTAGTATATTATGTCCTTACTTTATATACCAAGATGTATTAGCTTTATTTTTTTTTTTCTAAAAAGTCTTGTAAGACTTAATAATTGCATCATAGTTGTGGGGGGTATTTAGTTAAAATACAGCTTGTTTCCTACACCTTGTAATATCTAGGATACTTTTAAGAACTGCACATTGGGCTGAATTAGCAGATAATATTTGTTAAGCACAACTGATTAGAACATTTGGGATTAAATGACTAATTAGTTAACTCCTGGCTGGGCCTTCTGGTTATAGTCATAAGTCTTATATAGTTAAAATGCACAGTTAAGAGTGGGGAGCGGGGTGAGGGCAGAAAAACTAACTGGTGATCCCAATGTTTTGGAGGTATGCCATGTACAGATCATTGTAACTCTCACACTGAGCCTCCCCAGAGGTCTGATTGGATTCAACACTAAGGGATTCCTTTTCTTTAAGATGCTGCCAACATTTGTCGATTTTGAAGGAAAGTAAAATAACCATTTGTTTTGAAAAGCCCTCAAAGTATAAAAATGGTATAAAATCTATGTCTTCCAGCATATTAAGCACTATAGCTCTCTGAAGGACAGCCTTCTTGGTACTTAGTTAAAATCACCTAAATCCATTATTTTATTGTTTATTGTTTTCTGGGATCAGTGGACCTGGATTCAAATTCCACCCCTGACACTTACAAGCTTTATGAATAAGTCATTGACCCTCCTTAGCTCAAGTTTCTTCATCTGCAAAATATGCATAATGTCATCTAGCCAGGGTATTGTTGGAAGATAAGTCAAGAACATCTAGAATATAGTTTTTGCTCAAAAAATGCAGTTAGCTATATAGTTAGTTGCCATTGAGTAGATTCCAACGCATAGTTACTGCATGTGACTGAGGAGCACTGTCACGTAGGATTTCCTAGGCTGTAAACTTTATGAACAGATCACCAGGTCTTTCTCCCATGTAATTGCTTGATGAATCAAACTTCCAACCTTTCAGTCAGCAACCAAACGCTTAACCCATGTATTACCAGGGCTCCTAGCTAGCTATTATCCATTGGCATCAAGTCAATTCTTTCTCATAGCAGCCCATCCCAAGTTTTTGAGAGTGTGCATCTTTATTTGAGCAGAAAGCCTCATGTTGCTCCTATAGGATAGTTGGTGGGTTTGAACTACTGACTTTTAGCAGTCCAGTACTTATCCTAAAGGGCCAACAGGACTTCTGTAGCTAGCTATAGCTCCTTTGCCTTCAGAACTATGTTTTGTAACACTTCCTTGGTGAAGCCTTTCTTGTCCTCTTTCCTTGTTATTGCCATCTAGTCGGTTCTAACTCATCGTGACCCTATAGTGGATTTCTGAGGAGGGACTGGTATTTTGAACCACCAACTTTGAGGTTAGCATCCAGCGCTTATCCTAAAGTGCCACAGTTGGAGTACCAAAACCCCAGTCAGAGTTAGGAGTCCTTGGCGCTCCAAAGCTCTTTGTAATATTACTATATTGGAGTCCTTATGTAGTGCTGTAGGATAAGCACTAGCCTTCTAACAACAAGGTTGTTAGCCATTTCTCAGAAACCCTAAACATAGAATCACCTAGATATTTTTAAAAATATGTAGATGCCTACCCCACTCAAAAAGCAGCTCTGGTAGCGTAGTGGTTATGAGTCGGGCTGCTAACCTCAAGGTCAGCAATT